GGTTGATTCAAGAAATAGGAACAACAGTTGCTAAACTCTCCAAGGGAACTGGTTGGGGAAATTATCCCCCAGATGGCACTAGCAATTATTTACTTTGCTTGAAATTTCTTCAATTTTTGGATAGAATACTCTTTGAAGTAATAAAAATAAATATATCTGAAGATTTGAACATTATCTACAGACAGTTAAGTACAATTCAACAATGGTAAGAGATTCAATGTTGAATTAAATACAATTCACTAATTGTGAGGAATGAAGTTTTTAACACACCTTGATTCACATGTGTTAAAAGAACTTTCTTTTTCTACCATAAGAATTTCTTTTCCCATAATAATTGAGCAAAGACCATAAGAGATGAAGATATTAAACTAATGAGATAGAAAGACAAGGATTTCAGACAAATATGTTTGGCCAACTCTAGGGAAAGTGGTTAGATACTGAAGCACCCAGGCTTCTGGCCTGTGCTCTCTCCTCTTTGATCTCTAAACCTTTTGCTTTTGGGATCTTGTTTGATCACATGGCTTTAAATATCAATATACTGATGAACTCTCCAATTTGCATATCCTATCCTAGCCTCTTCTAAGAGTTCTAGACTTATACATCAAACTGCCAATCCAATCTCCATTTGAATATTCAATTGGTATTTCAAGACGAACCTGAAAAAAAGAAGTACAAGAGAAGAGTTCTAGGTTTTCTGGAAAAAAAGAAAACAAAAAACACCTCTTCTTCCATAAGTCTTTGTCAACTGAGTATCTACTCAGTTATTTAAACCATAAAAACTGGGGTGTATTTGAGTATTCTCTTTCTACCATACCCTATATCCAATCCATTTTCTAATCTGTTCTACTTTTAAAATGTATCTCATAATCCATTGAAATTATTATCTACTGATACTCCCAAGTCCTAGCCATTACCACAGCTCACCACAACTCCTACCACAATAGCCTCTATGCCCACTGTCCTCCCTTTAATCCATTTGGAACAGGGCAAATTGATCCTGAGATATGACATTTTTGTGTTTATTAGCTTCCTACAGTTTCATATTGTAAGTAAAAGTTCATTTTTTAACTTCTCTCATACTCAAGTGGAGAGTAGAAATGGCATGTATCAGAACCTCTTAAATGCAGGTTAGCATATACTCTTCCAGCATGGATGAAATGAACTACAGCTGGCTGAGAGCTAGAGTCTGAAACAAAGCCTTTGTCTGAGCTGGAACTAAGTAATTCTAGCAATAGTCTTCTTTTTCCTGGTTAGAAAAAAATTAATAATGATCACATAACTTAAAGACTTATATATGACTAACTCATAGCACGTAGAAGGACTTAATAATTATTTGGTGAAGCAATGAACAAATGAATGATGTTTCTTTTCCTCAAATGGCACAAGATGCACATGATTCAGCACCAGAGGGACAGTCTGTTTGTCCCCAAAGGGACAAGCACAGCAGCAGAGCATCCACATCCACATTCAGGAAGAGCAGCCAAAGTGAGGAGGATGGCAGCCTGATGACAACCATGCCACAGACAAGATTCCAGACAATGTCGGCGGGTGGATCCTTTCAGGAAGAGTACATATACCTGGGTAATTTAGACGATGTACACAGCAAGCTAGCAGTGAAGAAGTATATGAGAACGTGGGGAAAATGGCAATTTGAGGGAAATCAACAGGAAAAAAAGATCCTCCAAACGCAAGAACTACTTCTCCCAAAATCTTCCTTCTAATTCACTGCATTTACTGGATTATGTTTTACTAATTGCCTTTCTTTCCCCCAGACTCCCTGAAGTTAGAAGTAAAAATTACCCAATGGGTCCAAGAAATATTTCCTTGAAATTTTATTTAGACTCTACAAATAGTGAATCTGACAAAGGAAAACATTAAAAATAAAAGAAATGAACTTCAATTGTTCATGTATTTATTCAGTCATTTAGCTAGCTTCTTGCAATAAGCAATGAAGCCATAAAAGCAGCAAACTCTTACTTTTTAAATTTCTGTGAGTTATTTAAACATTCCCCTGACTCTTCCCTGAGCAAAAACTGTAACCTCTGGGGAAGAATTCCCAATTCACAGCTGTTTAGCATCACCTTATCATGGTTTATTATCACAGTAGCCAGGTTGTCTCTTTGAAGATCAATTTCCCACTGAGCAATCAGATCAAGAGTAGTCAATCTAATTCAGTCACTTTAACGACCCAGATAACTGGAATGGTGCTGGTAATTTTAGTGATTAATGTGACAAATACAATTCAATTGTGCAGATTTGACATAGCTCAGCAGCTGGCTCTGATGTCAACACACGAGCCTGCCCAAAGCACTTTGTGGACACAATATGTAACTGTGCAGCTCTTGCCATTGCATGGCATGCCAAGGATCTACCACTTTTTGACAGCTCAACAATATCTTTTCCATATTCCTCACATAGCCTTATCTTAGTGAAAAAATAAATCAAATTGCACACTATTCCAATCATATAGAATTTAGAGTTGGGTTCTGACAATATGATAAAAGTAATCACAATCATTTATCACTCAGGTGGGAAAAGGTTCCTTCATTTTCAAAACAAACATAATGCCATAAAATTTGCTATTTTGGGGAACATTTTAGAAAAAGGAAATCTGGAACAACTGTTGTCAAGACTCAGGAAAACTGCCAGTAGCATTTTAAATAGTGTCTTTACCTGTTTCACACAACAGCTGAGTCTCACCATCTGGGCCAGTCTGAAATTTCCACGAGTTCAGCTAAATTGTCAAAATAGCTTCTTTTGCTGGTCCTTCAAGCAATTGGCTGTTCAGGAAAACTAAAAATACATTTGACATCAGAAAGCCATCTCCAAATGCATGAAACCCAAGTGCCATAAAACGATGGAAAGAGCATTAGGCTTACACACCATATAATCATTTCTAGTGTAATCATTTCTATTAGAATTAGGGATTAAGCCAATGGAGTATGTTTGTTTAGAATCGTGATAATTGCCGGGTGCAGAGCAGTATGAAATCATTCCTCAAAATGAAACATTTCATTTTCCTAATGGACAACTAAATAAATAAACATGTTGTGAATGTTTCAAGTCAGGCAACAGAACACTTTAGAGCAAAAACAACATATATTCTCAGATAATAAACTTTTTCTATGAAGTTGTAAGGGGTCAAAGGCAGGCTACCCCAAGATGTACTGCTTTGACATCGGACAATTTGAGATGAAAACAATCAAGGCCCCGAAAGACTCAGCAAGAAAATTTGACCTCCCCACACAAGAAACAGAATAAAAAGAATTTAGGTGGAGGACCTGCTCCAAGAGAAGCTAGCACCATAGATAACCATGCTACAATATGAACTAGGTATGGTAGACAAGGAGGAATTTAGCAAAGTTTCTTTAGCAAAGGAATTTGCTAAAATTCCTGTGTCCCACTGTTTCTATGTGGGCTAGGAAACATTTGTATTTACTCTTTCATATGCCAATAAATTGCTTCTCTTTCTCTTTGAAGTCCAGACCCCTACCCTTTCTCCCTATTTCAGGATGACATATACATCCCATTTCGCCTGTCTCTGGAATTTCATGTCTGGATTCCTAGTACATACCTAATTAAACTTTGCTGCTTCCTCCTGTTAATCTGTCAGTTTGTTTCTTAGACCAAACAAAAGCACTTTGAAGGGTAGAAGAAAATTCTTCTGCCCCAAAAAAGCACTTTAGACAATGCCAGTGAAATGTAACTGCACTAAAACCATTTTATCCTCAGAGACAGTGGAGATTTTATATTAAAAATTATTGATTGAAATGTTTTCAAAAATCAGAAAATGATGTGTAAAATGGGTGCATCATTTTTAATGAGGTGTAACTTACAGTGAAATTCACAGATCATAAGTGTAGTGTCTCTGTATTTTACAAGTGCCTGCAACCATGCACCCCACATAGATACCAAGACAAAAATGTTTCCACCAACCCCTGAAGTTCCCTCCTCATGCTGTTGCCAGTCAATCTCCACTGCACCTACATAAACTACCACTGTTGCGGGTTGAGTTCATCCTCCTCAGTCCTTATTCCTGCCACAACAAGGAATTAAAAGGCAGAGACACAATAGCGAAGCAGAGGGGGTTTTATTTGAATACACTCCAAGGGAGGAGAAGGCCAGAGTCAAGGCATCAGTGTGTTAGGCGCGAGGCTTACCTATTGCATTCTGGTAGGAGGCTCCTCTTTGACCGACAAGCTGGGGTTTATTTGATTTACAGGTTCATCTGTACAGCCATCCCTCTCAGTGAGCCTGTCCTTCCCCCATGCTGAGGTGCTATCTGGGCAGTTCCTACTTCCGGTGGGTGGGTTGTGGTCTGGCTGGTGAGGAACTTACCTCCCTGCAAAGCCTTTGTTGTCTGCACATGGGACCCCCTACCTGGACAGAGTGTGGGTGGCTTTTTCTTTGAACCTTATCTGGAAGGCTTCCTCTTTGAGCCTTATCTTCCCCTTTTCTGGCTGCTCATGTCTACCTTTCCACCTGATATTCCTAATACTACCAATCTAATTATTTACATTAAATGTTGCCTGTTATAAAATTTCATATAGTGGAATTGTTGGGGAAGAAATATTTTCTTCTACCCTTCAAGGTTCTTTTGGCTAGTCTAATAATTAAATTGACATGACACAAAATAAGAAGAGAAAATCAAGTTTAATTAATACGGCTATCCCACATAAACATGAGAGATTCCAAAGACAGTCAAACAAAATGAGGTACATATGTGATCCTGAACCAAAGAGAAGCCGGTGAGAGTCTGAGACTTCAAAGAGAAAGGGAAGCAATTGACAGATATATGAAAGAGCAAATGTTTGGTAAACATTTGCTGGGCCACACAGAAACAATGGGACATAGAGAAGAATTTTAACAAACAAACTTTGTTAAATGCCTCCCAGTCTACCATCCTTAATTCATGTTACATTAGAGATATCTGATGATAGCTTTCTTCCTCAGTCAGGTCCTCTCTCTAATTTCTTTCAGGCAGTTAGGGGGAAGGTCAAAGATTTTTCCAAGCGTTCTGTTTCTTAAATATAATTACCCTAAAATAATCCATATGCCAAAAAGACACATTTTGGGGTGGCAAATTTTTTTTTGCACTCCTTCAGAGTCATACAGTTTGTACTTTTTTGTGTGTAGTTTATTTAAGTTGTATCTATGTCATTGTATGTTTAAGTACTATTTCATTATATAAATATACCACATATAATTTATACATTTTCCTAGTTGAAAAACATTTAGGTTATATCCAGTTTTTGTCTATTTTCAATAACACAGTTATGAATACTATTGGTAAGTACTTTTGTGAATATATATGTTGGAATTTTCTTAGGTAAATAGCTAGTGTGGCATTTCTGGGTCATGGCAGAGGGTACACTTAACTTTATAAGAAAATGGGAAAACTTTTCTTAAAAATGGCTTCATTATTTTATACTCCTATCAACAGTGTATGAAATTCTTGGTTGTTTTACAATCAATATTTAATGCTGTCAGTCTTTTTGAATTATAACCAGTAATATAATATCTCATGTATATAATTAACTTTAATTAGCATTCCTTGAATAACTGCTCATGATTATGCTTGTTCATATGCTTGTTTGCCCTGTGTATAGCTCTCATCTGAAAATATCTTTTTAGTCTTGCCCTTTTTAAAATGAGGTTGTTTGTCTTTTTTATTATTAATTTGTAGGGGTTGTCACTATATTCTGAATACAAATCCTTGGTCAGGTATATGCATTGTAAATATTTTCTTTCAGTAAATATTTTCTTTCAGTCAGTTGCTTATGTATTTCAGTGGCATGTTTGGGGAGATATTTTTATGTAATCTAATTTATAACATTTTTTGTTGTTTGTGATTTTTGATTCTAAAAAATATGTGCCTACTCCAAGGTCAGGAAGATATTTCCCATTTTTTTCCTAGAAGCTTTATAATTAGAGCTTTTGTGCTTAGTCATATCATTTATAGTGAATTAATTTTTGTGTATGATGGATGTAGAGCTTGAGGGTTTTAGTCTTTTCTTCCTTAAATATTTAATAGAATTCACAGGGAATCCATCTGGGCCTGAAGTTTTAAATTATGAGTATGATTACTTTTAAAATATGGAACTATTCTAATTTTTTATTTATTTTTTGTATCAAGTTTGTGTTTGTTCATTTATCTGAATTGTCAAATTGTTAGAGTTAAGTAGATAGCTAGGCATAAGCAGGTAGATAAAAGGAGACTTCAGTCGGATGACTGCTTACATTCTACACATTCCATGCAAGCTATTCTCTCAGGATGTGGAGTGAGGTTATAGGTAATAACTGGCTAAAACCGGCTAGTTCGAGCAAGGAGGAGAAATTTCCCTAAATTTCACCCCAAAATCCATTGACATAATACAAATCACACCTCCATCATTATCATAGTAAGAATCATACCTCCCTACACCATGACAGTTCCAATGGGGAGCAAATATAGTCAAAAATCCCTCTACCTGACATGAGAGTGGAGCAAGCCTGAACTCCAAAAGACTACACCTGTTCCCTTTGAAACCTAATTTAACTTAGTGAATATTCTCCCTTTATATAAAAAGTGCTCCCTAATATTTCCTTGAGGCAACCAACCCTCTCTGTGTCTGCCTGTACCCCAACTCTCAGGCATATACTTTTGTTTTCCAAATAAATTTTGAATGATCAACTCATTTTTGTAACTGTTCTTGAACTCTTTTTCACAATAAGGCCAAGGACCCATCTCCAATAACAAAATTTACTAGCATAAATTTTTCATATAATCCTTATTAAGTATTTTATAATATAAGGGTCTCATTTTTGGTTTCCTTTTCATTTGTGATGTTTATCTTTTATATATTCTTTTTCTTAATTACTTTAGTCAGCAATTTATCAATTTTATTGGTATTTTCAGAGAAATTATCTCAGATCTCATTGATTTTTTTCTATTGTTTCTTTGTTTTCTAGTTCATTGAAACTTTTATCTTTATTATTTTCTTTATTTTACTTAGTTTTTAATTTGTTCTTTAATTTCTTAAGGTGTAAGCTTAGACAATTAATTTAATATTTTATTTGCTTATAATACAACATTTAAAGATACTAATTTCCTCACAAGTACTTTTTTATCTGTATCCCAAAACCTTTGACGTGTTTTTGTTATTATTAAGTCCAAAATAGTATTATGTTCACTTGTTGATTTCTTTGCCCCATTTACTATTTGGAAGTATATATTTTTATTTCCAAATATTTGGAGATTTTCTAGGCATATTTTTGTTATTGATTTTGAATTTAATTCAATTGTGGTCATAAGACATACTCTTTAAGATTATAATCATTTGAAATTCATTGAGGCATTTTTATGAACCAGCATAGTTTCCATCATAGTGAACATTCCATGTACACTTGAAAAAAAATGAATCCTCTAGTTGTAGGGTAAATTGTTTTATAAATGTCATTTAAGTCGGGTGATAGTATTGTTCAAATCTTTTATATCCTTACTGATTTTTTTTCCTTTTTTGGCTATACTTATTTTTCTTTCAAATACTATAAGAATATATATTAAAATATCTACATATGGTTCTTGGTTTGTCTTTTATTCCTTTTAATTCTGTCTTTTTCTTCATTATTGAAGTCACATTACTAAAAGCCTACATATATAAGAATGTTAAGTTTCTGATGCATTGAATTTTTCATCATAATGTAACATCTTCTTTATCTCTGATAATACAGTTTTTCTTAGTACACTTTGATTTTATTTATATGGCCAGTCCAGCTTCTTTATGGTTGTTGTTTATTTACATTTTGTACTCCTTTTACTTTTAGATTATTAATGACATTTTATTAAAATGCACCTCTTGTAAGTAATATGTAATTCTCTCTTGCTTTTAATTAAATCCAACATTCTGTATCTTTACATCAAAGATTTAATCCATTTAGATTTACTGTAAGTATTGATTTGACTGCATTTATTTCTACCATCTTGCCATTTGCTTTTATTTTGCTCAATGTATTTTTTTCCTTCCTTCCCTGCCTTCTTTCCATTAAACAAATTTTCACATATTTTTCACCACAGCATTTTATTGCCTATTTCTCATCACCCCTACTCACTCCATTACAGGAGGGATCCCCTGCCCTAAATAGTACAAGATGGCTAAACATGAGAGCCAATACTGAACATTTAAGACTGACAATGATTTTCTAGTCACATATACTCACAGCCTTAGGGGATGTGCACATTGTAAACCATGCAGGGCTGCACAGGATTGCACTCAGGAACAGAGTGGACCAGCATGAGCTGTTGAAACCAAGCTTCGTAGTGACAAGAGTGTAGATGACCCTTAGCTCCTTCATGAGGGTCTGAGAGGCTTGTTTGAATAATTTTGTGGGCTGCAGAGAAATGGAACATAGAAGGTTGAAGACCCAGTAGGGTACAAGTGGTACAGCTGATAGGAGAACTAAGTAGGCAGAAGGATTTTTCTTCTGTGTGGGAGACGTGTTTGGTGGGAGGAAGGGGAATTCAAAGCCAGGACCTTTGGGCCTTGTGAGGCTCAAAGAAGTCAAGGATGTCTATCATGAATTAATATTATACAACTTTACATACAATCTAATAACCTTACAGCAATATAGTTCCATTTACCACTCTCTTAAATTTTGTTCCAATTTAAGCATTCATTTTATATCTATGTATAGTATGAACTTCATAAGACATTACTATTATTAAATTACATTCAACTCTCAAATACCTTTGAAAATGTTTTAAAAATAAGAAAAGTATTTTACCACACATTTATAATTTCTATTGCCATATCTTCCTTTGTTTATACCTCAGTATTCATATAGTATCATCTTTATTTGCCTTGAAGAATTCTGTTACTACTTCTTGTATGGTTAGTCTGCTGGGGACACATTCTTCCCAAGTTCTCATGTTTCTAAAATGTCATTATTTCACCATAATTTCTGAAGAACAGTTTAGCTGAATATCAACTTCTAGGTCGATAGTTTACTTTTTGTACTTAAACAATGAATTTCTATTGCCATATGGGTTAAGTTTTCTTTGAAAAATAAGCTTTTGATTCTTACCTTTGTTCCTATATTGCGTGTCTATTTTTCTTCTGCCTGCTTGAAGAATTTATCTTTCTTCTTGAATTTCAAGCATTTGTGTATGATATGTCTATTTGATAGTTTTGTTGTTTTTAATTCTCTGGTAGCTTCACTGATCCAGGTAAGGAGGTCATTATTTTTCATCAAACTTGAAATATTTATATCATCAATTTTTCAGTGAGTTTTCCTGACATATTATCTTTTGTCTCTCCTTCTGGGTCTCTAATTACATATATATTTGATTTGTTTTTTGATATTTTTCCACAGGTCTCTGAAACTGTGTTCAGTTTTTCAGTCTTTTATCCTCTGTACTTTAGCTTGCAAGGTCTCTTGTACCTATCTACAAATGTACTAATCTTTTCTTCTGTGATGCTAGTTTAAAATCCTATGAAGTGGTTATTTTCAGATATCTTATTTCTCAGTTTTAGAATTTTGTTTGAGTATTTCCTACAGTTTCCATTTTTCTATTAATATTCACCATCTTTCAACTTAATATTTTTATCTTTTTCATAAATCCTTAAACATATATAATTACTGTTTTAAAGATTTAATATGCTAATTCTGTCATCTCCATATTCTTTGAATCTGTGTTATTGACTGTTTCCCTGTTAACAAGTCATGATTTCCTGCTTCTTCAATTTTGATTGGATATGAGCATTATGGATACTACACTGATAATTGTAAATAGTGCTTCATTTTGTTTTGGTAAGAAGCTAATTTAATGTCAGTCGTTTTGTCCTTTTGAGGCTTTTTAAAAGATTTTTTTTTTATTTCTTTAGTGTGAATTTAAAGAAGCCCAAATTCTAAGACTAGAATATTCTTTCTCCTAAGGCATGGTGTTTTTGTTGCCTTAAGTGAAAGCTCTGAGAGTTCAGTGAAATTTCTTCAGTCCAATTATTTTGTAATTTCTACATCTCCCCAAGATTTGCGGCCAATGGTATTTCCACTTAGTTCACAGTTTCCCAATTTTCTCTGTTCTCTAGTAACCCTCAAAGAATCTCATTCCATGACTGCATAACTCTTGAACATTTGGTCTTCTCTGATTCCTGCCTAGAAAATTACAGCCACATCTGCAGCTGTAGTTTTTAATCATTCCCTCTTGAGCTTGGTGAGACTGCCATGCTCCAGGCTCCATACACCTGTGCCATTGTCCAGAAAGTTCTTCTAGGCAGAAAACCACCTAGTTTCTGTGATTCACCTCATGTGCCCTTTATTCTCTCAGGGATTGTATCCTGCCATGACTTCTGTTCATTAGACAACTTTATCTCTAACATGCAGGTTTTGTCTCTAACAGTTACTTCATGATTAGAGCAAGCAAAAGTTGAGAGCAGCAATTTTAGTCCTTTATTTGTAAACACCAAAGTTACATCTAGGTGATAGCTGTATAGTCCCTGAAGCTTATACTATTTAGAGTCATATCTCTTTAAGAAAAAGAATACACAATTTTAAATGCATGCTTAGGCACAGGTGTGAATTTTTATCTAGAGAAAAGAAATCACTGCAAATCACAATTTTTAAAAATTGGCAAATAATACAAATATCACCAAAAAAATGAAAACAAACTATTGACTTTATTAATTAACTGTCTATCTGCCAATATATTTTTTTCCTAACTTTTTGGACCAATTCTTTTTTGATTAGCTCCTTATAGACCAATAATTTAATTATAATTTAAAGAGACCAGCATGAGTAATTGAAATTTATTTTTTAATTAGTGATAGTTTAAAGTAGCTTATTTTACCTTTATAACTTGTAATTGACCCTTTTACTAAGAATGTTCAGATTGTGATCAGATTTGGGAAACATCATATATGTTTTAAGATATGAGGTATAATATTTCTCAGCATTTCAAGTTTTCTTATGTAGTAGCTAATGCAATCAAAAAGTAAAAATTGAATTTTTTCTAGTGTTTTTCCTAATGTATTTGATTCACTTTCTATTTAAATGATAAATGCATTTTAAAAATGCAATAAAATAGCTTATTCACTACTGCTGTACAAAGCTTCTCTCTCATCTTATTAAATTACTGCCTTTAGCATTATATAAGTATTTGTCACAATTTGTTTCTAATGTCAGAACAATTTCTAATAGTTCTACCCATTAATTTTATAATATCTTTTAAATTTGAGTAAGTTTTACCGAATTTTCCCTGAAATTATTTACTGAATAAGAGTAAATATACAAAAGAAGATACCATGTATACATATCCAAATCAGAAGACTGTTTAAGTTCTCATATTTTCTCCAAAAAATGCTCTAAAACTTTTTGTAATCTGCAGTTTAAAATGAACATTATCAAATTTTTGAATAAACTGCATTTCATTTATGTATAGGCTTCTCTTCCAGTTACTCAAGAAAATATTTCAGTGTATTTAAAATGTTGTTGTGTCTCTGTTCATGACTTGCACTGATTTACAATAGGCAGGTCATCTCATTAAACTTATTATCTTTAAAGGAGCTGGCATGTATGTACAGTACTTCAAATGCAAAAGAAAACCTATTACTATCATAGAATATCCCAAATCTTGAATAACCTAAGGGACTATGAATTCAGCTTTTTTTCTCTGATGAGACCACAGGAAGAAGAGCACACATTAAACATATGCTGCCTTCTTGTTAATGTTCATGAAAAGGGTGTGCAGTCCTTCACCACCACCTTTTAGTCACAAGACCAAACACACTTTTTGTTAAAGGATATTTTACAACCACCTCAAACATTTTCATTTGTTGAAAACAATCACATAGATAATTTTCAATTGACCAGAAAATTAAAGATTGCTCAGAGGGGTTTTTACATACAATCTAATAACCTTACAGCAATATAGTTCCATTTACCACTCTCTTAAATTTTGTTCCAATTTAAGCATTCATTTTATATCTATGTATAGTATGAACTTCATAAGACATTACTATTATTAAATTACATTCAACTCTCAAATACCTTTGAAAATGTTTTAAAAATAAGAAAAGTATTTTACCACACATTTATAATTTCTATTGCCATATCTTCCTTTGTTTATACCTCAGTATTCATATAGTATCATCTTTATTTGCCTTGAAGAATTCTGTTACTACTTCTTGTATGGTTAGTCTGCTGGGGACACATTCTTCCCAAGTTCTCATGTTTCTAAAATGTCATTATTTCACCATAATTTCTGAAGAACAGTTTAGCTGAATATCAACTTCTAGGTCGATAGTTTACTTTTTGTACTTAAACAATGAATTTCTATTGCCATATGGGTTAAGTTTTCTTTGAAAAATAAGCTTTTGATTCTTACCTTTGTTCCTATATTGCGTGTCTATTTTTCTTCTGCCTGCTTGAAGAATTTATCTTTCTTCTTGAATTTCAAGCATTTGTGTATGATATGTCTATTTGATAGTTTTGTTGTTTTTAATTCTCTGGTAGCTTCACTGATCCAGGTAAGGAGGTCATTATTTTTCATCAAACTTGAAATATTTATATCATCAATTTTTCAGTGAGTTTTCCTGACATATTATCTTTTGTCTCTCCTTCTGGGTCTCTAATTACATATATATTTGATTTGTTTTTTGATATTTTTCCACAGGTCTCTGAAACTGTGTTCAGTTTTTCAGTCTTTTATCCTCTGTACTTTAGCTTGCAAGGTCTCTTGTACCTATCTACAAATGTACTAATCTTTTCTTCTGTGATGCTAGTTTAAAATCCTATGAAGTGGTTATTTTCAGATATCTTATTTCTCAGTTTTAGAATTTTGTTTGAGTATTTCCTACAGTTTCCATTTTTCTATTAATATTCACCATCTTTCAACTTAATATTTTTATCTTTTTCATAAATCCTTAAACATATATAATTACTGTTTTAAAGATTTAATATGCTAATTCTGTCATCTCCATATTCTTTGAATCTGTGTTATTGACTGTTTCCCTGTTAACAAGTCATGATTTCCTGCTTCTTCAATTTTGATTGGATATGAGCATTATGGATACTACACTGATAATTGTAAATAGTGCTTCATTTTGTTTTGGTAAGAAGCTAATTTAATGTCAGTCGTTTTGTCCTTTTGAGGCTTTTTAAAAGATTTTTTTTTTATTTCTTTAGTGTGAATTTAAAGAAGCCCAAATTCTAAGACTAGAATATTCTTTCTCCTAAGGCATGGTGTTTTTGTTGCCTTAAGTGAAAGCTCTGAGAGTTCAGTGAAATTTCTTCAGTCCAATTATTTTGTAATTTCTACATCTCCCCAAGATTTGCGGCCAATGGTATTTCCACTTAGTTCACAGTTTCCCAATTTTCTCTGTTCTCTAGTAACC